CCCATGTGAAGGAGCTTTTTTCCTATGTTTTCTCCTAGAACTTTTATGGTTTCTGTCTTATGTTTAAAGTCTTTAATCCTTTTGAGTTAATTTTCATAAGTGGCGTAAGGTAGGGGTCTAGTTTCATTCTTTTACATATGAATGTCCAGTTTTCCCAGTACCGTTTATTGAAGAGATTTGTCTTTTTTTCCCATCGAGTGTTCTTGGCTCCCTTGTCAAATATTAGTTGACCATCTATGCCTGGGTTTATTTCTGTGCTCTCGATTCTGTTCCATTGGTTTATGTGTTTGTTTTTATGTCAGTCTCATACTATTATCTTTTCTTTTTGAGGAAGATTAGCCCTGAGATAACTACTGCCAATCCTCCTCTTTTTGCTGAGGAAGACTGGCCCCTGAGCTAACATCCATGCCCATCTTCCTCTACTTTATACGTGGGACGCCTACCACAGCATGGTGTGCCAAACAGTGCCATGTCTGTACCTGGGATCCGAACTGGGGAACCCCATGCTGCCGAGAAGTGGAACGTGAGCACTCAACCTCTGCACCACCGGTCCGGCCCCAGTCCCATACTATTCTGATTTACTATAGCTTTATAATATAGCTTGAAATCGGGAAGTGAGATACCTCCCATTTTCTTCTTTCTTAGGATTGCTTGGCTATTGAGGGTCTTTTGTGGTTTCATATAAATTGTAGGATTGTTTTTTCTACTTCTGTAAAAAAAAATGCCGTTGGACTCTTGATAGGGATTGCATTGAATCTATAGATGGCTTTGGGTAGTATGGACATTTTAACAATATTAATTCTTATAATCCATGAACACAGGATACCTTTCCATTTATTTGTGTCTTCTTCTCTTTCATCAGTGTCTTGTAGGTTTCAGTTGTGGAGATCTTTTACTTCCTTGATTAAATTTATTTCTAAATATTTTATTGATTTTGATGCTATTGTAAATGGAATTGTTTTCTTTATATTTTTTTTCCAGATAATTCATTGTTAGTGTATAGAAACACTATTGATTTTTATATGTTAATTTTGTATCCTGCAACTTTATTGAATATGTTGATTAGATGTAACAGTTTTTTGGTGGAGTCTCTAGGCTTTTCTATATATAAAATCAAGTCATCTGCAAATAGAGAGTTTTGTTTATCTTTTCAAGGACCCAGCTCTTACTTTCATTTATCTTGTCTATTGTCTTTTTAGTCTGTATTTCACTTATTTCCACTCTGATCTTTATTATTTCCTTCCTTCTACTAACTTTGGGCTTTGCTTGTTTTTCTTTTTCTCGTTCTGTTAGGTATAAAGTTAGGTTGTTCATTTGAGATTCTTGTTTCTTTCTTTCTTTTTTTTTTGAGGAAGATTAGCCCTGAGCTAACATCTACCACCAATCCTCCTCTTTTTGCTGAGGAAGACTGGCCCTGAGCTAACATCCATGCCCATCTTCCTCTACTTTATATGTGGGATGCCTGCCACAGCATGGCTTGGCAAGCAATGTGTGGGTCTGTGAACCCCAGGCCACCGAAGCAGAACATGCGAACTTAACTGCTGTGCCACTGGGCTGGCCCCTTTTCTTGTTTCTTAATGTAGGCCTGTATTGCTATGAACTGTCTTCTTAGAACTGCTTTTGCTGTATCCCATAGATTTTGGTATGTTGTATTTCTGTTTTCATTTGTCTCTAGGTTTTTTTTTATTTCTTTGATTTCTCCAATGATCCATTATTGTTCAGTAGCATATTATTTAATCTCCACATTTTTGTCGTTTTTCCACTTTTCTTATTGTAATTGATTTCTAGTTTCATACCACTGTGGTCAGAAAAGATGCTTGATATGATTTCAATCTTCTTGAATTTATTGAGACTTTTGTGGCCCGGCATGTGATCTCTCCCAGAGAATGTTTCACGTGCACTTGAGCAGAATGTGTATTCTGCTGCTTTTGGATGGAGTGTTCTGTATAAATCTGTTAAGTCCATCTGGCCTAAAGTGTTGTTTACGATTGATGTTTCCTTATTGATTTCTTTTTGGATGATCTATCCATTGATGTAAGTGGAGTGTTAAAGTCCCTTACTATGATTGTATTGCTGTCGGTTTCTCCCTTTCGGTCCATATTAATTTACTTTATGTGTTTTGGTGCTTCTATGTGGGATGCGTATGTATTTATAAATGTTATATCTTCTTGCTGGACTGACCCTTTATCATTATGTCATGCCCTTCTTTGTCTTTTATACAGTCTTTGTTTTAAAATCTGTTTTGTCTGATGTGAGTGTAGCCACAGCAGCTTTCTTTTTGTTTCCTGTGCTTGGGATCTCTTTCTCCTTCCCTTCCCTTTCAGGCTGTGTGTGGCCTGCTGAAGTGAGTCTCTCACAGGCGACATATAGATGGGTCTTGCTTTTTAATCTGTTTAGCCATTCTCTGTCTTCCTATTGGAGAGCGTATTAGTCTATTAGTCCCTTAGTCCATTTAGAAGGTTTAATCTATTTACACTTAAAGTAATTATTGATAGATATGTACTTATTGCCATTTTGTTGTTTTCTGGCTGTTTTTGTAGTTCCTTTCTGTTCCTACGTCTCTTACTTTCTTTTCCCTTGTGGTTTGATGGTTTTCTTTAGTGTATGTTTAGGTTTCTTTCTCATTTTCTTTTGTGTATTTAGTATAAGTTTTTCCTTTGTGGTTACTGTGAGGTTGACATATAACATCCTGTGTATATATTGGTCTGTTTTAAGTTGATAGCAACTTAAATTTGAACACATTCCAAAGCTTTACATTTTTACTTCCTTCCTCCCATGTTTTATATTTTTGATGTCAGCTTTTACAGCTTTTTATTTTATGTATTCTTTAACTAATTATTGTCCTTTTAGCATCCCCTCACTTTTAAGGAAATTTTTTGGAAATTACAACCGATACTTCTGTAAACTCCAGCATACAATTTGGCCATTTTCACTAAACTTCAACTATTATCAATTCCCTGCTTAAGCTAGTACTGGTATTTTTCAGGCTTAAGTAGAAAACTCACCTTGGATCTTTTCTTATGATTATAAATATTATGGGAAATATATGCTACTCCTGTTTTTGCTCTGGCATTTTGTGAGTACAAAGCTCTTTGTGGGGGCTGCCCAGTGGCACAGCGGTTGAGTGCACACGTTCTGCTTTGGCAGCCCAGGGTTCGCCAGTTCGGATCCCAGGTGTGGACATGGCACTGCTTGGCACACCATGCTGTGGTAGGCGTCCCACATATAAAGTAGAGGAGGATGGGCACAGATGTTAGCTCAGGGCCAGTCTTTCTTAGCAGGATTGGCAGCAGATGTTAGGTCAGGGCTAATCTTCCTCAAAAAAAAAAAAAAAAAACCAAAAAACAAAACCAACAACAAAAAACTCTTTGGCATCAGATGTCTGTTTTTCTTTCAGTTTTGACCCTTCTGTATGCAAGACTTCTAACTGCTTGCTTTTAATTTTTCCAGAGAAAATTTGTCTTGAGGTCCAAGTCTCTAGCCTAAGTATCCTCTGTGGTACACAAAGGAGAGCAAAAGAAAAGAGAAATATCATGTGGCTGTCCCCTTTCAATCGGAATTTCCTTAGGCACTGCTTCTTGATCTACTTCTATGAATCTGGGTGGTGGGAGCACAGATGTGTTGAGTTTTGCTTTGTGAACATTTATTATGATTTCTGTACTTCCCTGTATATGCTTTACTTAAAGGAACAGGTTTTTTTTAAAAGTTCTTTAGAAGATTTTTCTTCATCTTCCCTTTCCCAGCACATAACTGCTATTAACAAACAGCTAGTTGCCTTAGAAACCACTACAGGTTTTCTTATTTTACAGCCTGCTCTTTAACACAGACATCAGGCAAACTCAATGCTGCTTAACGGTGTAGAAGAAAATATTGGGTGGTTTCCTCATAGTGACACTGGAGAGTTTTCCATGTGAATTGCTAACAGGGAGCTTCTGGTGATCTTGGCTAGGGAGTAAGATGATGAAAGTAGGGTTTTGGATGTTTTACTTTGTAATGGATTCCCAAGTGAATAGCAGAGGGGAGGCCAGAGACAGGGATATCAGAGAGGAAATAGATGCTCAGTGTGAAATGAAGGAATGCCCGAATTAGACTAACTAAAAACCAAAATTAGGGGGCCGGCCTGGTGGCGCAGTGGTTAAGTTCACACGTTCCGCTTTGGCGGCCCGGGGTTCACCGGTTCAGATCCCAGGTGCAGACATGGCACCGCTTGGCAAGCCATGCTGTGGCAGGCATCCCACATATAAAGTAGAGGAAGATGGGCATGGATGTTAGCTCAGGGCCAGGCTTCCTCAGCAAAAAGAGGAGGATTGGCGGCAGATGTTAGCTCAGGGCTAATCTTCCTCAAAAAAAAAAACCAAACCAGAAAACCAAAATTACAGATGAGAAGTCCAGAGAAACCACACCTAAGGGTGTGCTGAGCAGTAGCCAGAAGCTTGATGTGGCTTTGACTGGGGCGCCTGAATGGGCCCAGGCTCTACGGAGGGACATTGAGAGGTGGTGGGCCAGTGGGCCCTTTCTGCCCTGCCTTCCCTCCTTCCATTATGTAATGTGGTCTTGGGGTTGGGGGCCAGCAGACAGGCAAGGACTATCTAGTAGGAGAGAAGGAGGGTGAGAGGGAGGGCAGACGTGGAACAGCAGCAGAAAATAACTTAGACATAAAAAACTACAGATCGATATAGCTATATAAGGATACATGAGATGCTCCATGGTATAATGAAAATATGAGAGATTTGAAGTCAGACCATTAGAAGTTCCAATCCAGAAGTCCTACCATTTACTAATTATGTGGCTTTCAAGAAATTAATTTTTCTGTACTTGAGTGTTTTTCATTGGTAAAGAGTATATGATACTAGAGTGTCATAAAGGGGATTTTCTGTAAAGGAATGGTTTACTTAATGCTAGGTTGATAATGTGAAAGTTGAGTCATTTATAAATAGTTTGATGTTACTTTCTAAGGTATCTCTTACTTCATATGTTTATGTATATTTTATTTTATTTAGATTAACTGCAGCATCCAAGATGCATGATGATGAAATTACAATTTGATTGTGCCTGCATTTCTTCTGGAAAACAAGGCTTGAGTGCAAAGGCAAAACCAAGCAAAACTAGAATGAAGAGCCTCAACAAGTAGTTTAACAAAAATAAGATTTCAGGCACAACATATTTGGCAGATTTTAGAGGAAGACCCCTTCCTTTGAAGTTTCTCTATGTTGCGCTGAGAACTCTTCACTGTATCAGTCAGCTGGGTGGGGTTCATGGAGTTTTGATGTCCCTGCCTGCCTTTGGCCAACAGAACAGTTTACTCCTCCGGCACACCACTCAAGTGAAAACACAGGAATTTTCTGAGGTAGCCATTCTGATACATATGTCACCAAGCTTGGACCTTCCTCCCTCTGATGATGATGGGTTACAATCTCTGGCTCAGTCTGCATGTGGTTGGAAGATACCTGACCAAGTCAAAGAGACCGTTAGGAGTTTTTCTTCAAATCTAAGGATTTGGCGCTTTTGCCAGATTGGACTGTTTCTGTTTGAACGAAAAAGGGAGGGAGTGGTGGGAGAGATTGTTGGTTATCTCCCAATATCTGTCCTCCTCCTCTTCTTTTAATAAAACTATTCTTAGTTGGGCACATGGCTGACTAAAATAAAAATTACCTTTTTCAGCATCTCGTGCAACCAGGTATGACCATGTGGTTGACCAGTGAGCTGTGAGCAGAAATGACGTTGGCACTTCTGGTTCATGCCTCCATCCTCTTTCCTCCTGTTTGGGATGCAGATGTGGTCATAAACCGTCTTGGACCGTGTGGATGCAAGCAATTCTTTAAGACAATAATTCCCAAACTTTGCTGCACGTTAGAATTACCCAGGAAGCTTTTAAAAATCCCAATGCCCAGGTTATGCTGTGGGCCAATCAAATAAGAATGTCTGGGGGTGGGAGCCAAGACATGAGTGTTTTTAAAAATTTCCAAGTGATTCCACTGTGAAGCAGAGTTTGTGAATCACTGCCTTCGGGAGTCCAGAACAGAACGTTAAAGGAGCCTGTGTTGCTGACAGCACCCTAGTCCAGGACTCCCTACAGCAGGCCCATCACATGGCAGAGAAATAGACTTCTAATTTGTGTAAGACTGTTACTTGGAGTCTCAGTTACAGCTGCTGAACTTGTGTACTAGCTAATGAAGTGGGTCACTGTCATTAAAACTATTTCACAGAATAATCTTGTTTCTATGTTGTTTTCTTTATTTTCCATTAAGCCATTCACATATGGGAGAAAAATTTTTTGGGATGCCCAGGTACTGCCTACTTAGCATAATGCATTTGCAGTTCAACCATGCTGTACATTTATGATTAGTGCATTCCTTTTTTTGCTGAGGGGTATTCCATTGTAGAGATGTACCACAGTGCTTATCCATTCTCGAGCTGAATGACATTTGGGTTGTTTCCAGTTTGGGGCTGTTATGAATAAAGCCATTATTAGCTTTGACTTACCGGTTTTTGGGTAAACGTAAGTTTTTAGTTCTCTTGGGTAAGTACCTAGGAATGGGATTGCTGGGTTAAATGGTAAGTATGTATTTAGCTTTGTAAGAAACTGCTAAACTGTGTTCCAAAGTGTAACATTTTGCATTCCTACCAGCAACCTGACAGTTCTGGTTGTTTTGTATCTGTGCCAGTACTTGTACTGCTAGTTACTTTTTGTTTTTATTTTATTTTGCTATTTTAGTAGATGTGTAGTGTGCTTGTTTACCATTTATATATCGTCTTTGATCGTGTCACTTTAGATCTTTTGTCTTTTATTTTTTTTTAATGGGGTTGTTTGTTTTCTTATTTATTGAGTTTTGAGAGTGCTTAATATCTTCTGTTATGAGTCCTTTATCACATAAGTGTTTTGCAAATATTTTCTCTCAGGCTATGGCTTCTCCTTTCGTTCTTTTAATAGTATGAAGAGCAGAAGGTTTTAATTTTGACGTTTATTTTTTTTCTTTTATGGATAATTCTTTTAGTGTAATATCTAAGAAATGTTTAATCCTTGGTTATAGAGATTATCTCCTCTATTTTCTTCTAGAAGTTTTTAGTTTTAGTTTTACGTTTAGGTCTATAATGCATCCTGAGTTACTTTTTTGTTTAAGGTGTGAGGTGTTGCGGGGGGTGGGGTAACTGTTGAGGTTCTTTCCTTTTTTTTTTTTTTTGCATATGTATAATTGTTTCAGCACCAAGTGTTCAAAAGACTATCTTTTTTTCTATAATCATTTGAGTTTATATGTTTGGGTTAATTTTGGAATCTCTCTTCTCTTTCAGTGGTTTGTGTGTCTGTCTTTTTGCCAGTAGCACACTGTCTGGGTTACTGTAGCTTTCTAGTAAATTTTGAAATTGGGTAGTGTGAGTTCTTTAACTTTTTAATTATTTTTCAGAATTGTTTTGCCTATCCTAATCCCATTGCCTTTCCATATAAATTTTAGAATCAACTTTTTGATTTCTATGAAAACTCTTGCTGGGATCTATAGGTTTCTACAAAACTCCTGCTGGGAATCTGTAGATCAGTTTGGAGAGAATTGACAGCTTCACAGGATTAAGCCTTCCAGTCTGTGAACACAGTATATGTTGCCATTTATTTAAGCTTTCTTTTATTTTTTTCCATCATTTTTTGTAGTTTTAGCCTACAGATCCTGTACATATTTTGTTACATTTATTCATAAGTATTTGGTGGTTTTGATGCTACTGTAAATGGTACTTACTTTCAAAAGTGTTTTCTACTTGTTCATTGTTAGGCTATAGAAATGCGATTGAGTTTTTTACATTAGGACCTTAGTCCTGCAACTTTGATAAACTCACTTAGTAGTTCCAGTAGCTTTTTTGGTAGATTCTTTGAGATTTTCTATATAGAATCATGCTCTCTGCAAATAGAGGCAAGTCTATTTTTTCCCTTTCCAGTCTGGATGCCTTTTATTTCTTTTTTCTTGCCTTTTTACACTGGCTAGTGCCTCCAATCCAAAGTTGAACAGGAGTAGTGAGAGAAGACATTCTTAACCTTGTTCCTAGTCTTACGGGGAAGCTTTAGATTTTCACCATTAAGTGTGATGGAAGCTGTAGTTTGTTTTAGTAGCCTTTATCAGGTTTAGAATGTTCTTGTCTGTTTCTAACTTGCTGAGAGTTTTTATCATGAGTGAATGTTGAATTTTGTCAAATGCTTTTTATGTATCAGTTGATATGATCATGATTTTTCTTTTTTAGATTTTTAATGTGAGTTATATTGATCCATTTTCGAATGTTGAACCAGCTTTTCTTTTGGAGGGTAAACCCCACTTGGTCGTGATGTGTTATCCTTTGTGTAATTGCTGGGCTCGACTTGCTAAGTTTTTCTTGAGAATTTTTGCATCTGTGTTCGTGAAGGATGTTCACCTGTAGAGTTTTCTTGTAGTGTTCTTCTCTGGTTTTGGATAAAGACAATCTTGGCCTCATAAAATTAGTTGGGAAATATTCCGCCCTATTGTGTTCTGTTGAAGAGATTCTGTGGATTTGGTATTATTTCTTCCTTAAATGCTAGAATTCATAGGGAAGCTTTTTGCCTTTTGTTCCTTAGGTGAGAAATGTCTACGCAAGACTTTCTGCCTGTTCCGCTATGGAGGCATCCCCCCTCCTTCAGTCCTGGATCTAAGGAAGTCCTGCTCTAGTCTCCTGCCCTGTCCCCATCTTTCTCCTGAGCACTCTAAAGGTCTGTGGAGAAAAGCTTGCAAGTGAGTGTAAACTCCCACTGGAACGTGGCTCCCAGGAGTTCTCTACTTCCTTGCTATCCTTTAGCAGTTGATAAATAATTTTAGTTGGATGCTTCTTTTCCATTTGTTTGGTGGCCCCATCCTCCACTGTGCTCTGCCTCTGGTGAGTCTATGTTCACACCTTGTCTCTGGGGGTTCCTGTCTTTTCTTGAGTTTTAGGCTACTTGGATAGCTTTCTCATGGTTTTCAGAAAAGTTATGATGTTGTACATTATTTGGCTTTTTCTTGTTGTTAGGATAGTTGCAGTGCCCTTTCCAGCTTTCTACAGAGTGGAAGCTGGGAGTCAAAACTAGTGTGTTTTTGGTATTCTACTGTAGGTAGTCATGATGTTTCTCAGTAAGGGGCTTAGTTTCATAGAAGTGGCTATTTCCTGAGTTTGAATGATGAATGTCTTCACATTCCAAGACTTGGTGACAATGTAGAATTCTTTACCAGCGTGCCAACCTTCTTAACTGATACATCATGAGTTTTATCATCAACCCTGAAGCTTTATTATCTTGACTCAGACATTGCTGGGGTCAGGGAGCCCTTTCAAGATTTCTTGCAATCTTTGTGTCTCATTTTAACTCCTTTTTTTTTTTTTTTGGTGAGGATGTTTTGCCCTGAGCTAAGATCTGTTGCCAATATTCCTTCTCAGCCCCCCTCCCCTGCCCAAATCCCCAGTACATAGTTGTTTATCCTAGTTGTAAGTCATTCTAGCTCTTCTGTGTGGGATGCTGCCACAGCATGTCTTGATGAGTGGTGTAGGTCTGCACCCAGGATCCGAACCAGCGAACCCCAGGCCACCAAAGCAGAGCATGTGAATTTAACCAGTCAGCCACTGCGCTGGCCCCATCATTTTAACTCTTAAATTCCTTGGTCTTTGGCTAGGGAAGTCTTTTTACTTCTGGACCAGTCATGTGGCTGAATTTGAACCAGATATTCTCCAAAAGAATGGTTTTTCAGATGCGATCCACTGACTTTTGATGTTGGATGGTTTCCCAAACCTTGGGTAGGGGTATACCCATTGGTAACATATACCATTTTAATGACATCCTCAGGGGCTGGTGGCGCAGCGGTTCAGTTTGCATGTTCAGCTTCTTGATGGCCTGGGGTTTGCCCATTCGGATCCTGGGTGCGGACATGGCATTGCTTGGCGTGCCATTCTGTGGCAGGTGTCCCACATATAAAGTAGAGGAAGATGGGCACGGATGTTAGCTCAGGGCCAGGCTTCCTCAGCAAAAAGAGGAGGATTGGCAGTAGTTAGCTCAGAGCTAGTCTTCCTCAAAAAAAAAAAAAAAAAAATAATGACATCCTCATCCTTAATTTTGTTTTCTAATCCCAAAGAAAGTCAACTAGGACACATTCTCAAGCTAGTTTTTCCCCACCATAGCAGTGTCTTATGGTTTGATCTCCTCTAAACTGAAAAGTTTTAAAGTTTAGTTTCCAGTAGCCCTGGGATTATGGTATCTTGTTGGAGACACAAGTTCTTATTTTGATTTCATTAAGTATTCCTGGGTGAAAATCAGTCATGGGATGGGGCAGCACTGTCAGTGCTTTGAGCTGTTCTGGAGAGAGACAGGCAAGGCAGAGTAGCGAAGTGGTTGTAGGGGAAAAGTAGAGATGGGCTGCTCCTGGTTTAGCCTTAGAGTCAAAAAGAGCCATCAGTTCCTAGTTCTCAAAATTGGTCCCTTGACCTTTCTCGTTTCCCATTCTTTGCTAGTTAAATCAAGGTCTTGATGGTTAGGTGCTCCCGGTACTTGTGATCCCTTATGCAACACAGATTAATTTATCCTTGACGACTTAGTTTGCTTTCTCCCTGTTTGGGCCAGTGAAGGACTCCCAGGGTGTGGGAAGTCATCTGGGTCAATATCCTATCCTGTTTCCCAGTTGCTAGCTTCTACTTTCCTAATTGGTCTTCTTACTTTCGGTCTTGCCACCCCTTAATCCATCTTCCACGTTGCTGAAAGACATATCTAAAACAGATATAAGACTGTAACTGCTGCTTAACAGCCTTCAGTAACTGCTTTTTGTCTGTCGAGTCCAAACACAAGGTCTTTAGGATTAAAGAGCCTAGAATCATTAGGATTAAAGAGCCACCACTTCTTTTGCTGTGCTGATGGCCAACATTACTAATAATTATTACATTCATTCCTGTTGAATCCCAATGCAGCTTTAAATTGTTTCATTATACTGGGTTCCAAGCAGTGACTGCTAATTAGAGTCGGCTTGTAAGATGAAACCTGTTTTGATTTGCGTTCCCTGAGAAGCAGACTTTGAGACAAGACTATGAGTGCGCATAGTTTATTTAGCAGCGCTTCCAGGAAATGTCCCAGTTAGCACTGTGGGCATCTGTATCTTAATCCCACTGGAGAACTCTAAAGACTAGACTACTACTCAGAGTTATACCAACCAAGGGGTGAGAAAGCTGGAGTGTTTACTACCAACTCCCTCTTTGTCATGGTTG